CCATCTTGGTAGAAGCAATTGGGACCCCCCCCCCCCTCTAAGCGATACTCCTCGCTGGGACCCCCACCTTACGGCGTGTCCTGTTGACTTGTTTGCAGGGACGCGACAGCCTTCGACATCGTTTCAGATTCCATGCCAACTTGTGAACTGACTTGTGGTTAATTTTTGTCATACCATTCGGAAGTCGAGTAGTGCTACCTTTACAAACAAGCCTTGTAGTCTGGTACAGGTTGAATATCCCAGTTAGGGGGGTCGCATTTGTCGTAGAAGGAAAGTGGGGTGAGCGCATTTGCCTTTGAGAGAATGGTTGCAGTTTTTCAGCTCGAATTCTCTTAATCTTTTCCCGTTTCAAGTGAGCAATATATTGTGCGCTATTGGAGATTCTTTGGTAAAGTCCGGAAAAGTGATGATAAGCTGGGAATAAGGCAAAACATCGTTTGGAAGGTTGGAGGGGGTCGTACTTGATGTGAGGATTTTTTTTGATAGTTGATTTTTCTTGTTCCACGGTCGCCTTGATGGGATGAGGTCGTATCCTCCTTCCGAGTGAAACTGGTAGGGATGGGGAAGTTTTTCTCGGTACTTGACTTCATAGTTTTTCCCTTGCCACATATGCTATGCCTCCCCCAGCGACCGAATATGACCCCCCGCTCGACAGCTCGATCGTATCAGAGGAGGGAAACGGGGGTTATCAAGTCACTCTTCAGAGGGGGGTCGTACGGACTGGACCAAGATCCCCAACTAATGGTGTGCCCTGGCTGGGAAGGTTGAGGGACATGATGGAAGGGGAAGGAGGGGGGCGCCAGAAGAGGAAATTCCGACGGGGAAGGGGGTTGTTCTGTCAACATTTTCTCCAACGGCCGCTGTGCCCTGTCTGGTAGTTAATGCAGAATCGGGAAACGTTGGAACCAGTCAAGCAATGGCCTTTGGCATAGTTCTAATTTCATATTTCAGTAGTAAGAGTCGTTAGACTTTTTTCTTCCTGTTTTTGACTGAATTTTCTTTTTTGCAGATCTTTCCTGAGCTGTTTTTTTACCTGTGGATGGTAACATGAAGGGATTTCCGGAACCTATTCAAAACCAAAAAGCATTTCTGGCTTGTTGTCACTTTTCTTGTGGTTACTGTGATATCGCGGGAGAAGGATTGTCTTCCGTTGTGCATGTAAACTTCCAAGGACCTTGAAGTGGTGACGCGCCAGGTGCCATCACACAAACCTGATCTCGCTGAGAGCTTACTAGCTCCCCTGTGTTTCTTAATGTTACTTACTAAACTTATTTCTCTAGTTGACTTTGATTTCTTTCGCCTGTGGGAACAAGGTGCCCTACCGTCATGACGCTCTTCATTTATCTCGTCGCTGGTGCCTATGAGTGAAATCGCGTTCCTCAAACTCAGGCTCTGTATCTCCTACATTAGGAGAAGTCTCCGTAACAGCACAAAAAAGGCAACTGTTCTTTGATTATTTGATCTCTTGGTTGAAATTTGAAACCGAATTTGACCCTGAGAATTCAGCAATGCTGTCTAAAGGAAGAGCCTTCGTTCACTTGAGGTTCTTACGCTTTCTCTAAATATGGTAGCCCTCGATGGAGGATACAGTGATTGAGCAGCCCAAAATTACAAGACGGAAGCGCCGCTCCGCCCACTGACTATCGCAACGCCAACGTTCTTTTACGCGGGTGGTGCGGTTGTTCCGCAACTAGCTCTCTCCATTTCGAATGGTGATAGTGAGGTGATAAGGAGAAACAGCTGGTACGGGAGAACTCGTCCGATCAAACCCTTTCTTCGCCTCGCACAATCTCATTTCGGCATAGGGCTACACATAGCGCATTTTACATCGATTTTTTCCTTCTTTTTTTCCTTTACTACTGAATCACCTGTTACTTTGTTATTATTATCTTTATTATCTGAGCCGCATAGCTGCGTTCATACTTTGCGGCAGCGTCTACCAGCGTCCACTAGCGTTTCGAGCGGACACGGAGCGTCAGAGACTGAGAAAGTATAGATATCGATCTAGCATCTGCCAGCGTCTACCAGCGTCCACCAGCGACCAGCAGCGTCTCGAGGGCTAGGGAAGTATAGGTATCGATCTAGCGTCTGCCAGCGTCTACCAGCGACCAGCAGCGTCAAGGAGTGGAGAGTATGGCGCGACAGGAGGATACCAGCTGTCTGCTACCCTCCTGTATGGCCCCATACTCTCCACTCCCGGACGCTGCTGGTCGTTAGTCGCAGCGGACGCTAGATCGATACCTATACTTTCCTAGTCGCTGGCGTTGTCCGACGCTCGGAACGCTGTGGACCCTGCCGGGTATGAACGCAGTCTAAAGAAATTAATAATAGAGCATAGAAGCAATTCTTCTTTGGGAGCACGCGCATAGAATGCCGTGAATCCTAGGGAGTCTACTACCACTCCAACCTGCACCCTTCCTCCCTCAAAGCGGTGGATGTCACTTACGTTGGTATCATTGCAACCATTCACGTCGATTTCCAGAGGGATGGACTAGCCCCACCTGGAGCTGGAGGATATCCCTTTATTGGCATAAAACGAGTAGATCCTAGAAGGCGTTCACAGAACTGCCAGCTTACTTATAGTGTTCTCCATGTTTTTGCTTTTTTTTCTTATCTGGAAGTTCACTTAGCTTTCTTCACATCTTGGCATCCCTATTTGAGCCTCACTACCCAGAATATGCTATCGCGGGTTTCGCTCAAAGCAATATTTGTAATCAAACTTGTAATCAACTTGTAAACAGTGCCGTACCCATGAGAGAAGCGTTTCATTAGCCGATTTCAGCCACGTGGTCTGCAGCACCTGCAGCTCGCCGTTCATCCGCTGGCGTTTGTGTTGCGGTGCTCGCGGCTATACTGATGTTTGCGTTCGGTGTTATACTTGGCGGATTTCTGCATGCAGTCG